ATCATTTCCTCGTTAATTGCCTTAGCATTAGAGGCCTAAGTAAACAATTGCTAACCTTGTGCTATTATAGACACCCTGTAACTTTGTATGGTTTATGACATATATAGCGCGATACGAAAGATTATCGTATCCGGCTGATTTGTTGAAGAACCCCCCTGATAATCCATGGGACATACCTGGTTATGTTTTCTGGATATTCCTCGCCATTCAGATCATTGCCTATCCCGCCATAGGGGCTTATCTCGAACGCACGCTCCACGGCACGACCACCAAAGGGCGTACGATTCTTCAAGGGCAAAGCGCAGATACAGCACCGGCTGACGCCGTTCGCCTGGAGGGCTTCACGAAAATATATTATCCTAGTTTTTTCAATCGATTGCTTCCATTTAAATCGGCTCCGAAGGATCCGGTTGTGGCCGTTGATCAGCTGACACTCACCGCAAGAAGGGGACAAATACTGGCTTTACTCGGCGCTAACGGTAGCGGAAAGAGTACGACGCTCGATTCGATTGCTGGCATTGGTAAGATGACTAGTGGTGGTATTACAATCGATGGAACAGGAGGGCTGGGTATTGCGCCGCAGAAGAATGTCTTATGGGATGAGTTGACCGTTGAAGAACACATCCGGATCTTCAATAAGTTGAAGTCTCCTAATAATACCGCATCTTCACGGGAGATACACGACTTGGTGGTGGCGGTGGACCTTGCGCCAAAAGCTAAAGCCATGTCCAAGACCCTGTCAGGCGGTCAGAAACGGAAGCTACAACTTGGAATGATGTTAACTGGTGGGAGCGCCGTCTGCTGTGTTGACGAGGTTTCGTCCGGAATTGACCCCCTTTCCCGGCGCAAAATTTGGGACATCCTTTTAGCTGAGCGCGGAAAACGAACCATCATTCTCACCACCCATTTCCTTGACGAAGCTGATCTACTTGCCGATCATATTGCTATCCTCTCTAAGGGTACATTGCGTGCCCAAGGGTCTTCCGTCGAACTCAAAGACAGATTAGGCGCCGGATATCGGGTCCACGTTTTTAACACCAGAGAGATCAAGAATCCGCCAGAAATCGAAAACGTGACCCGCAAGATAGGGTTCGATGTGATCAGCTATGTTGCGCCAACGTCCGGTCTTGCTGCAGAGGTCATACGCTCCCTTGAGTCCGCAGGAATCCATGACTATAAGTTTTCCAACCCCACCATCGAAGATGTCTTCCTACAGGTAGCTGAGGAAGTCAGAGGTGAGCATGCTATTATACAAGCAGAGAGCTCATCTTCTACTGAAGTTGCTAGCGAGACGCAAGTAGGCGCCGAAGACAATGTTGGAAGTGAGCTTGAGAAGGACAGATTAGAATTGCTGTCAGGGCACCCGATTGGCTATTTGAGGCAGACGGGAGTACTGTTCATGAAGCGGTGCACAATCTTTAAGACAAACTGGTTTCCTTATGTGGCGGCTTTGTTAATTCCGATAATAGCGGCAGCTCTGACAGCTCTCTATGTCGCGGATCAACACCCGGTAGGATGTAGTCCGGCCGATCAAATGAATGTTGATTCATCCGGTTCTTTCAGTCTATACGACAACCTGTGGCTAGTCGCCGGCCCGTCTTCACAATTCAGTAACGAGACGATACAGAGGCTTTTCTCCCCTGTCCTCCTGAGTGTAGTAAGCCGGAATCAGAGCCTGAGCCAGCTCCAAACCAGAGCCGACAATTTGACTGGGGCAGCAACGAATCCACTTACGTCGTTTATGGAGAGTTTGCATCTAGTCGATTCGCTTGATGAGTTTAATAACTTCGCCGTAACGATGCGAAAGAACATTACACCTGGCGGGTGGTGGCTTGGGGATGCTAATTCTGCACCTACTGTTTTGTACCAAGCAGATAGCGGAGATGTCCTTACCTCGGTCTTCGCGCTGAACGCTTTGGACACTATGCTAGCCAACACTACCATCGCCACGACTTACGCTCCGTTCGATATCCCTTGGGCGCCGTCGACCGGAGATTCTCTGCAGCTGCTGATCTACTTTTGTTTGGCCATGTCCATCTATCCCGCTTTCTTTGGTCTTTACCCAAACATAGAGAGACGTCGAAACGTCCGAGGATTACAGTACTCGAACGGAGTGCGCTCGCTGCCGCTCTGGGCTTCTTATACGCTCTTCGACTTTGCAATCGTTATTGTCTCATCCGGGCTTGCTACCGCCGCGTTTGCCGCATCATCTGATGTTTGGTACCACGTCCCTTACCTCTTTCTAATTTTCATGTTATACGGCTTAGCGTCTACTTTACTCTCATACGTTATATCTCTATTCAGCAACAATCAGCTGTCAACGTATGCTTTCTCGGCAGCCGGTCAGGCAGTCGGGTTTCTGATCTACTTGATTGCGTATCTTTGCGTTCTCACATACTCGCCAGTCATTCTTATCGATTCGTCTATACTCATTGCCCATTTTGTTATATCGGCCGTCGTACCCATTGGTTCAGTCGTTCGAACGATGTTTATCGCCCTCAACCTTTTCTCGGTAACGTGCGATGGTGACCAAATACAAAGTAACCCGGCTGCTATAACTGCTTACGGTGGTCCAATTCTGTATTTGATTATACAATCGATCCTCCTGTTCGGTTACCTGCTATGGCATGATAGCGGATCAGGAAGTAGTCTGCTCAACCGCTTCACGCAAAAAACGCCCCCATCCTCTAATGACCCTGCTGCTTCGGATGAAGAAATCGCCAACGAATTGGTCCGCGTAACTAGCACGCCTCAGGAGAACGATGGTCTCCGGGTGCTACACTTGACAAAGACGTTTGGTAAAAATACGGCTGTTGAAAATGTTACGTTTGGCGTTCAGCACAGCGAGGTCTTTGCGCTATTAGGGCCCAATGGTGCTGGAAAGTCCACGACCATCTCGTTGATCCGCGGCGACATCCAGCCTAGCTATAATGGAGGTGATGTTCTTGTCGAGAATACGTCTGTGAGCCGTCGTCGTGCTGGAGCTCGATCCCACTTGGGCGTGTGTCCTCAATTTGATGCTATCGATTCGATGACGGTCCTCGAGCATCTACGTTTCTACGCGCGGATTAGGGGTATCCCTGACATCGACCACAACGTTCAGGCTGTTCTTCGCGCTGTGGGTCTCGAGGCCTTTTCGACTCGTATGGCGTATGCACTTTCCGGCGGGAATAAGAGAAAGCTATCCCTCGGTATCGCTTTGATGGGCAATCCCAGTGTTGTTCTTCTCGACGAGCCCTCTTCTGGTCTCGATGCTGCAGCTAAGCGGATCATGTGGCGGACGCTACACTCCATTGTGCGTGGCCGATCTATTCTCCTCACCACCCATAGTATGGAGGAAGCCGACGCCCTCGCAAACCGTGCTGGCATACTGGCAAAGCGTATGCTCGCCATGGGGACGACAGAGAATCTACGCCAGCGCTTCGGTGATGCCCTCCACGTGCATCTAGTCAGCAAATCGGCGCCGCACTCGACGCCCGAGGAGATGGAAAGGGTGCGGCAATGGGTCGCAGACAAATGGCCGGGCGCAGAGATAGAGCAGAAGACATACTACGGACAAATGCGATTCTCCATACCAGCAAGCGCCGTAGCAGGCACCGGTAGCGCAGTCGGTCGGCTTATCGTGATCTTAGAGGAGCATAAGGAGGAGCTCGGAATCGAGCACTTCTCGTGCACGCCGACGACGCTCGACCAGGTGTTCCTGACGATCGTCGGGCAGCACAATGTTCGCGAGGAGGGGTACAACGAGAAGAAGAAGAAAGCATGGTGGGCGTGGAGGTAGGGGGGAGGTTTGCATATACCTGCATCATTTCCCATCTCATACAAGAGAATTTCTTAGTGCTATGCATTTTAGAGGTAGATATCATGTGATAAAATATGGTATGGTTTACGGACGAAAGTGTCAACTAGATGGATGGATATATACATGCATTAGGTACGCATACACACATACACACATATACGGCGTGGTCATTAGCATGGAATGGACAGGCACCTGAAAATTACGGTTTATATGTATTAACTACTTATATATACCCTCATGTGTTGATTAGAAAGAATATATGCCTCTGTAAGAGATGATGAAATGATCGAAGGAAAGTTGTGCCGGACAACACGACATGACGTAAGTACGCGGCAAACGATGACAAGCGATGAGCAAACTCACGACAGGGCGTTTGTTCATACCTATGTACTTGATTAAAACTGAACAAGCCGGATTTAAAGGCAACTCAATTCTACGAAACAGGCGCAAAGGTTGCTAGAGATGCAATTGAGAAAAAAAAAATACTTGTGCAACTCTACCCCACGAAGGCATTTGGAGTATTCTGCATTGAACCTTGTCAATCACGTAGCATCGAGGTAATTAACTACCAAACCTGCCAATCCACCACCCATCCATCAATCATCCAACAAAAAAAAGGTGGCATTTTTCCAACATCTATCAGTTAGGGATAGATAGATAAGACAATGAAGCAGAGTAACGCAAAAAGGCAAGGGTCTGACCGGGGATCGAACCCGGGACCTCTCGCAATTTGCGACTCATTTCGAACGAACCCAAAGCGAGAATCCTACCACTAGACCATCAGACCCTAGTAGTTGTTGAAAGCTTGGCCGTTATATGGCTTTATATAGGCTGGAGCTAGCGCTGAATGCTGGGACGTGGGGGTTTGTGCTTAGAGGGAGGGGCTAGTTAGTGTGGCGGAGACTTGATGATGGGTTGTGCCCTCTTGTGCTTTAGCGCATGCTACATACCTAACTTGGTGCTTTCTAATGAATGGTTAGAGTGATGTTGCGTAAGTATGTACCTAAATGACAACCTCTTAAGTGCATATCCCTAGCAAAGGTACATATATATATACATAGATATATTTGCGTCGAACTGCGCAAGTTCGAATCAAGCAAAGATCTCAAGCGAGAAATATCAAAGTATGCCGACCAGAATAAAATCTACCATAAGCATTCGCATAGGAGTCGAGATTTATGTGCTTGCACCTAACCTACTAACTAGTATGATCCTCCAACCAAATCGCAGCCAATTCCTCCCCTTTACTATTGAGTGTATAGTCCCTAGAACTGGACCCTACATTATGAACCTGAAACCTTCCAGTAGCCGCGTCCTTCCAGCTGTGATAGGCATCATTTAACGGAAACTCTTGATTCACCATCCCTTCAAACGTTCTGGAACGCATGTGCCATCCCAGTTCCTGGGCCTGGGTCTGAAAACTATCCTCGTTCTTTCTCCCCACGTACTCATAAAATGATGAGGGCGGTAACGTGGACGGCTTAGTATAGAGCAGCAGTGTCCGGGGGATTTCTAGCCCGGATGTGCTCGGCGGGAAGAAGAGCGGGTGTTTGCGAGGATGCTTGAGGATTAGCGTTGATTTGCCCGTCACCCCATTCGGTAAAGATATATTCGCTAAGAACGATGCTCCGGGGGAGAGGGCGGATGTGGTGAAGTTTGGTGGCACGAGAAGGCCAGGGTTATAGAAGAATAGAGTAGCGCTCGCAAACGGGTCGAAGAGGCCACTTGGGCTTACGAATAATGCCTCGGCGTGCTGCTTCAGCTCCTGGAAGTGCGGATCGTTCGAGCGAGATACGATTGTTTTTGAGGTCGAACTTTGCTTTGAGCCTGGCTTTGGCGGATTGTTAAAAGGATGGTCAGGGAGAAACCTAGTCCAGTTATATATCCCATTCAAGGCTATACATCCCCGAACGGCTATCTTCTCTTCGATATGGCTTTCCGTAAGAGCAAGAGACATTGCCAAGGATGCCCCAAGATACGAGCCGTAGAGGTATATGTCTCGTTTCTCATCAAAATCTGGACGTAGGTTTTCGACAATCCAGCTGTAAGCTATTAAAACGTCATGAAGAGGGGCTGGCCAGGTCAAGATAGGAAAGAATTCCTCCTTGTCCGGTTCACCCGTAGATGCTGGAGCGGCACCCTTTCTGGTTCCGAAGGGAGAGAAGCCGTGCCAACGGTAGTTTATCACAGCTGTCGGTTGCCCCTGGATGAATTTTGGCAACTTGGCAGGTGTATTTGTGAAGGCTGTTGAAAATGGTGGTAGATACACCAATAAGGGGCTTTGTGGTGACGACTTCGCAACATTGTGTAGACTATTCATTTATACACGAGTCAGATTTAACAAACCCAATTGTGCATGTATTTCATAGTTAGGTACTTACTCAATGGTCATATCGCCTGATAAGCCGACACGGATATTAACTCGTTCTACATCGCTGGTAACAGCGCTATAGCGCCTCGGTCTGTGACCGCGAAGGCCAGCAAATAGTAAACTCCTACTCGGGATCCATATTCTCATCTTCCCTCTACGGATCAGAATTCATGAAACATGAACTCATCAGTGTCCTATTACTGAAAGATTGAGAATGTCTTGTCTTTCTCAATTTGTAGAATTTGAGTTGTAGTTATGCATCAAATCAAAAGGTAAAAAGGACTATTTTTACGCGCCAAGCGATAAAAATTAGGTGATGTGAGATCGGTTGTTGCATATTTCTTAGCGGGTTTAGAACCAATCATATGGATATTAATTCCAACAGGTTATTACATACCCTGACCCTAGTAGGTACAAGTTAGCAGTCATGCCCACCTAAATCTTAGCTTCGCGATCCCGATGCCAAGCGACGTCATACCACATAAACATCCATATCAGGACATGCGCCTGACCCTACTTTGACTAGATACTAACCTAGGTGCTATATATATTCTTATTTTCATTCCGCCATGTTTATTTTCATAAATGTCGTATCTACATATATACAACGTGGGGGCATACTCGACGCTCGTTATCTAGGCCGTCAGTAAAGAAGAAGTGGTGGCTATTAGACGTCGTTGAACTGTTGGCTTCGATATTAATCTTACTCGTCCAGTTGGCAACCAAGGCAGGGCATATGGATCAAAACTGCTTCTTAACAATTCAAAAATTGATGAACAAAATATGAGCGAGCGCCTGCTCTCTCGCCCGTCAACATGGACGATGCAGACTTAAATAATAACATCGACGAACAGTCACATGCTGTCGATGGCTTAGATCATGACAAGGTTGGGGACAGAGGTATCATGAATGACCAGATTCATCTCGATCCTAGGTAAAGAAAAAATCAGCGTGTCTATTATTCGAAATGTTATGTCTACCTATTAACATAAACTCATAGCCGTTGGTGGTTTGCGTCAGCCGCATTTCCCATGATAGCTGGTACCCTGGGTCCCGTGGCTTCAGCCTTCAGTATCTGTTCGCTTGTCAAGTATTGGAGGCAGCATATTCCTCCGGGCTCTGACGTTACTAAAGCAGTGTATGTTAAAGACCCTCTATGGCTAACAGTAGTAAATGCCGTCCAACTAGCCCTAGCTATAATTGCGAACGTGTTCCTCCTGCTGAACATGACGAAGAGGGTGCGGTTTTCGATTGCGCAGCCTATAACGATAGCTGGTTGGTACATATCGGCAATATGTCTTATAGCCCTATGCGCTACAGCGACTGGGCCGTTAGATCTGCAACCGCAGATCGAATATGTCTGGTCTCAAGCTTTTTATTACGGCTTGTTTGCGGCTATCATCTACTTCATAGTTGCCTCTCTTATGGTCATCACGGTCTGGGGCGCTCAAACCGGGCACTACGGCAAAGACTTTGAGTTGACAACTAGCCAGAGGACTTTGATGCTTCAGACTATCCTCTTCCTCGTGTACCTACTCTTAGGTGCTTTTGTCTTCTCTAAGATCGAGGGCTGGAACTACCTTGATTCTATATATTGGGCGGACGTTACTCTCTTCACTGTTGGCTTCGGGGAACTATCCCCGCAGACCCGTCTTGGACGTGGCCTTCTCGTTCCATACGCGCTGATTGGTGTCATCAGCCTTGGTTTGGTAATTGGGTCTATCAGGAGCTTGATTCTTGATCGCGGCAAGCATAGACTCGACGCGCGCATGCTGGAGAGGCAACGAAGACTATTAATACGACGCGTCTTGCGGAAAGGACATGGTGGCGTTCTTGAACCGATTAACGACGGAGCTTCAGAAGCTTTCCCTTCGAATGCTCGCTGGACAGAGTTTGAGCGTCGTCAAAAAGAATTTCAACTCATGCGCAAAGTTCAACGACAGGTATGTACATAGTCTACTTAAGGGACCTTAGGAACCCCTTCTCCTCCCTTTAACCCATTACTCTATATATATGCTAATTTGGGGTAGTAAGTGGTCAAGCCTTCTTTCCTGCACATTCTTTCATGACAAGGACTTTTGTTCTTTCTCCCGATATTTGAATATACCAAGATAGCAAATATCTATACGCCATCCTATAATACTAACATATAGCAGAGCATCAAAAAGAGAAAGATGGACCGCTATGACAGTATCCTTAATTACTTGGTTGCTGCTCTGGCTCGTAGGTGCCAAGATTTTCCAAGAGTGCGAATACCCCTATCAAGGATGGTCCTACTTCGACGGTTTTTATTTCTCATTCACAGCATTGACAACAATCGGATATGGTGACCTCACCCCAGTGTCGAACTCAGCCAAGGCCTTCTTTGTATTCTGGTCGCTGCTCGCCTTGCCCACTATGACTGTACTTATATCGAACGCGGGGGACACGATCGTGAAGGGCATTAAAGATGGTACCCTTTTACTCGGAAACCTCACAATATTACCTGGAGAACATGGCTTCAAGAAAGAAGTGAAGCAGTTTATGTCAAAACTGTCCTGTGGTGTGCTGTTTATGGACGACGATATCGAAGAATCCCCCCCGGGCTTTTTAGGAGCAGCGCATGAGCAGCACACAGACGATGAGGATGAGGATGATGATGATGGGGAAGATGAAGAAAGGGCTTCCAATTCAACTGATATAAACAATGCAGAAAGCAACCGGAGAGCTCAGAAGGACGCTGAAAACGGAGAATCACAACCAACGTCACCGCCGCTAAACACTTCAACCAAACAAACTTCTATTAGGCCACATCTTACACCCAAATCTCGACCCTCCAAGAATTCAAAGACAAAGTCACCAAGACGCTCCGCCTCCGTAGCCCGAGAAAGCCTACCTACCGAACTCCCCAAATCCCGCGCTGAGTACCACCTCGTCCTAATCGACGAAATATCCCGCGTGACTAAGCACCTGCGGCACTCGCCGCCGCGCAAATACACCTTTAAAGAGTGGTTAGTAAACCCGAGCCATTCCCGCGTTTCCCCGCTATCACATCGCCCCTTTCCTTTCCTTTCCTTCCCTCTACTAGCCGCCGAATTCCTCATCTTCGGCCGTCGTATACTTCGACGGTTCGCTAGATATTAGTATACGTTAGGCAGATTGGTAACCACCCCTTCCGCGCTAACTTAAAGCAGGGCGTGGTACCTCCGCCTCATCGGCGAGGACGAGAGCAGCGCCGAGAACCACCGCCGACCCGAGCACCAGCCGCCGGAGGGGCACAGCCGCAGCCGCAGCCGCAGACGTCCTCGCGCCCTCGCGGATCGGCTGCGCGGGAGATCCGATACTTCCGCGAACGGAGACAATAATTCAACATCCAGAGACGACGAAGATATCAACGGTAACTACAAAAATGGTAGCGAAGAAGCGAGTCCCGCAGCTGAAATACCGAAGAAGTGGAGCTGGATCGGACACCGAAGCCCGCTCCTGGATACCCGCGAGGAAGCGGAGTGGATTCTAGACAAGCTAGAGCAGAAGCTTAGAGAAGAGCTGCAGGCCGTCGTTAGGGAAGGCGGGCAAGGTCAGGATGGGCTAAGAAGAGTCAAAGAGGTAGAGTGGCAGAACAAGCAGAAGGCGTCGGGTTACTACTAACCCACCCATCCTGTCGCGCTTGAATAACAGGTATCTAATATACGTAAACGAAAGAGTACCTAATATACCCATGTATAATACATACTAGGTTAATGAATGCCCAAGTACCAATAAATGAATGTCGACTCAAATTTTGCTAATGTGTAATAATATAAAGAGGCGATATTTCCAAAAATAAGAGGTAGTGACGGCGTGATCGTCATCGCCATAGCCTTAGCTGTTCTCAATTCCATAAGTGATATCCGCCCTGCATCCGATATATTGTTATTCCTGTCGGCCAGGGGAAAAGGAGGGAGTACGTCATGTCCTCAAAAAATCTGTGCAATTGTTATGCCACCCCAAACATCTCTCCCGGCCCCTGCTAGAACAGATGGCCGCCCCTCCTGTCCACTTTGTTGTAAAATTTAACGTCTAAGAGTAGTAAAAACACCAACCCAGCATGTGCGCAAGCTCTCGTTCCTCCCGCCTTGAATTCATTTTCAGGTGCGAGGTCGGGTTAGGTTAGATATGCTCGGGAAGTTCATTGCCTTCCGTCCACCTAGTCCTACGTGAGGGGTCTTATGTCAGCACAATATTCACTACAATAAGAAAGCCAAGCCGGAATATGCAAGGACAAGGACCCAGGCCTGGCCCCCAATGGATGACTTACGAGGGCTGAAGCTGCTCTTTAGTTAGATGCAGATCTCCCCACTTCTCGGTATGGGAGAAAGGGCACATATCTCCCCTGGTGCACGGGATACGAGGGCAATGGTGGGAAAGATAGCAGTCGTAGTCGACGCAGTAAGGTCCATTAGGACAGAGGCTAGTTCGAGCTTTGTAACGGTGGATAGCAAGTTCCGGCCCGGTTAACTCAGCGTCGTGCGTCTTATCGCAGCTAATACCCCATTTGCAGCGGCCTTTAAGGTAATGGTCGTTGCAGAAAACCGAGGGCTTGATAGCCTGAAACTTAGCCTGGTAAGTTGACTGGGCCGGGGTTCTGGGTGGATGCTGGGTTGGCGAGTCAATGCGATAATTATCTGAGTTGTAAAATATAACTTTTGGTTGTTTCTTAGGCTTGGGTGCTTTAACAGTGACGTTTTGATGGTCGTTGACTCCGCCCGCAGTGGCATAACTGATCGAAGTGCCGCCATTTCCGGAGCTGATGACACTTGACGCACGTGGAAGAGCAGTTCCCTGCTGATCAGGAGAAGAAGTGCGCTGTATTGGCGACGGGGTACTAATAGAAACTGGTGTAGGGGTAGTAGTAATAGGGGTAGATGATTGTCTTTGCTCTTGCGCAGAAGGCGACACAACCGTCGTGGCCGCTCTCTGTACGGGCTGTGTAGGCCGAGCAATTGGACCGGGCGCAGCAGACTGCTGAATGGGCGAGCGAAACCCTGGCGGAGCAGTTATGTTTGAAAAGATATGTTTTGTCTCATTGCCTAATGGCTCCGACCGGAAGACATCATCAAAACGTATGATAGGAAAGCCGAGAGACCTAAAAGCCGGCTCTGCGGGCGTAGTCTCTAAAAGCACCAATCTCTCTTCGGTAGCTCCTGTATAGTCACGAAGATCGTGTAGATAACCATTATCGTGGCAGCACCCAGCAAGGAATATCTTCTTGCACTGCACATTTCTGTAGTAGTGATTAAGCATACCTAAAAGCACGTGAGCAAATTTGAAGCAGGCATGATGTTATAGCTATTGTAATGAAGCATTCGCCAAAACGTACGTCTTATCTTAGAGTCAGCATTCTCCTTGCCCTTGCCGACGTTAACGAAGTCAAAGTCCGCACGACTGTTGGTGAAGCGTTCGGCGAACAAGCGCATATCTTCATCATATTCAATAATTCTCGAGAGACGTAATGACTTTGACAAGTCATTGAGATTAGCATAGGCTCGGACAAGAATAGGAATATCATCTTGTGAGACTCCTGAATCTCTAAGATTCTCTCGAACGGCATGCTTGAGCTTTAAAGCAGCCCTTTCGGCACCGCCACTAGGATCACGCAAGAATTCGTCCTGAAATTTAGCCCCGTCACCATCGATTAGCACAACAACAAACGAATCCTTATTCTACTACAAGTGTCAGCCGATACGTCACTTGAAAATAGCGAATAGCGCAACAGACAAGTTGGTGTGCTATCCTGTGCACTTCACTCTCAAGTGTACGAGCCTTGAACTGATAATCAGCTCGAGATTTCCTTTGGTCGTCTAGATCAAGTTCAAGTTCATTAATCTTCTTAGCATCTGCCTCGATTTTGTTGAGCATACTCTATCAAATATGTATTAGCGCAACAAGAGCTTACCCAGAGTCCAGGGGCAAAAACAGGAATGCCGGCATTTAACGTACATGAATGAAAGCCTGTCTTTCGCTATCAACTCGGTAATAAGTACTAAGTCGACTTTCTGTTTCTGCTTTAAGAGCAGCCGGATCTTGTCCGTTTAACAACATTGAGGACCCCATAGATGTGATATATAGGTGACAATTTAGTGCTATTATATTTGGGAACAAATCTGCCTCCTGGACTTGGGAGGGATACTCTTTCGGTGGTTACTGCTAGCTAGCGCGACGATGCAGACGGTTCTAGGACGAAATTTCGATGTTTGCCGCCTAAAGTGTGCACTGAGATGAGTGATAGAAGCCCCTCAGGAGGTTAGGAAAATATTGGAACAGTGGATTCTTTCGATGAAGACTAGGACGAGAATGGAATTCCCCCTTTTATCATAATTTGGCCTTGTGGAAAGTAGATAGAACCCCAGATTGAGAGGTGATTGAAAATACGGCAAACGCGTTCTCCTAATTTTTTTGCTCGTCGCAAAAAGGTTAAAGGGTTTCCGAGCCCAAATGGACCTTATGATTTAAGGTAGGTACTAAGCTGAACTTTGTGGAGATGGAATAACACGTGATGTGTGCGACGTATGTAAGGGGGAAATACGGAACACGGAGAAAAGAAATGGGGTATGACTGTATGAGCAATAAGCTACCCTAATAACAGGTACCTAACTACCTAACTACCTACCTACCTACGTACAAAGTAACTTACAAGTAACCATTTTTATTATCACCTCTACCATAAAAATTTTTGATGCAGCATCGCATATTCAACATATTCACCCATCTCAACGAAGCGAATAAGATACCTAGGTAGGTAGGTAGGTAGGTAGGTAAGCAACACTTTATCTCTCCTCTCCTGCTGAGTACACGATTTCTATTAGGTAAAACTCATCTGCTCCGTTCAAATCGCCTCTACAAGTCTTCGAAGCAATTATGTTATGATGTACCGTACCAAACTCCTTCCTCTCCATCTTAATCTAAAGCACTGGGTCTCCACCTAACGGGTATTCCTAGTGAGACCTCATCACCTCGATGGTATTTTCTGAGGGGTTTGCCCTCCGTGCGAAGTGTCCATCCACCGGTACGCACTCTCAAACTTGGTTCAAATTTACTTGGTAGACTCTACCAATATGTTAAGCACCGGGTTCCAGCCCTGGCACAGTATCATGCTATGTTCATATTATCTTGACCCATTGGCTACCGGACGTTACCCAGCAATTTACTCTTCTCTACTTGATTTGACTATCAGCGATCATGTACCCATCTGCTGTGCGTGAACAGGAACAAAAGCTATCGTTAAATGCATTAGACGATTGGCCTCCTTTACGAATTTTCCCCAAAGCTCTTCCCCACCTGTGTCATAGCAAGCTCGTCGACATATACTTAACCTAGGTACTGGCACTTCTCTACATATCCACCCATACATCAGCCCACTATTGATTCTCGTAGTTTTATTGTGTATGTAACAATATCTCGGGCTGCATCATCCGATCCTCTACAGACTGTCTTTTTGGCCAATATGATATGTGCCCAATCAATCTCTCTGATGGCAGTAACGACAAGAGTTAGGCCGATTGCGACCTTTGGATCTCTCCTGGGTTTGCATACGCAACGGCATAATTTAGGCTCCGCCCTCGTATCTAGGAACGCCGCACTTTGGCGATCCAACTGTGTACCTACTCGCCAGTTAGAGAGGACTCCCGCCGGGTATGGAAGCTGATCCTTAAATAGATCAATAAACTGGAAATGTTGGTTTCTTTAAAGACTCTCGCGGCTTGAATACGTTACCCTCGCGAACAGCTCGAAGACTACATCCTGCCGATGATTTAAACAATGTATCGCCTGGTTGACCAACTCTCCTATTCGAAAACAGGTCCGCAACACCGTACGCGGCGACAATTCCGAGACGACAGAACGATCACGGACCTTTGCAGGGAAAGGCGGTCGCACAAATGGCTTCAAGGGCGTCGTGTCCTCAGCGCGAGCATCACACTCAACAATTTTCTCCGTGCGAGCGATTTGCCCTTGTAGCAAAGGATTAGCTGTATTTTGGAGGTTAGTGCTCGATGCGCCGTTCGGAACTGTGCTCGTTATGGTATATACGACATTCCAGTCGACATCTTCATCGAGAAGATCATCATGGTTGCTGTTAGGGTTCTCGGCCACGTCTACTATATGCGAAGCAATTAGTTCGTTTGGGGACGAGTGTTGTAGAGTCGAGTCATATTCAACTGCCGACCTCGAGTCACGATCCCATGCCTGAGCAACGCTAGAAGGGGGTATATGCGCCTCTTGGACGTTCTCAAGGGCCGTTCCGAGAAGATAGACCATATCTTCCTCCATCGAGTCGCTGTCAAGGGGATATTCATCTTGGGCGTCGTCGCTGGTGTCGGCATTCGGATTATCCGGTTTAGACGATTTGCCTAGAATCGCGTTGTCGTTGCCAGCACCGTTACAGGGATGCGCGTTACCTAATGTGGTGAGATGTGTTAGGCTGGTGGGTCGCCCAACAACTAATGTGCCAACTAGATTGCCGTGACTCGAATTCCAAGAATCATCGATTGATTTAGGCGTATATGGAAGCGTCGCAGGAAACCCCCCCGGGTTCCCGGCTAAGGGAGAACCGTTTACTATACGTATTTCTTTTGATGACCCCACTACGCCGTTATGATTGTGCTGGTCCTTGGATTTGAATAGTGTTGCAGTAGAGTAAGGAGTCAACTGCTTGATAGTGGTATGTCCTAGTAGATACCGAGGATCGATAAATTGGCCTTGTTTTATGTTGTAAGAAGCTTGTGCATCTTCTATCTTAGGAAGAAAGATGCTGCCATTTGTGGCGCCAGATTTCGTGACTCTGAGCGTCTGAAAGGGACTAGAAGATGGTACGGTGGGTAGAGATGACCTATGAGGCGAGTGTTTTACGCCATCATCCTCTTCATGCATTTCTCGATTGCGTTTCAAGCTCCGACTTTTAGCGCTATGGATGAGTTCTCCTGAAAAGACATTCTGTATATCTTTGTTAATGGCAGCAGCAACGTCGAAGTGAGCGTAGGGTAGTGCGGCTTCTTGTGCTGATTTAGACAGCCAATGCCTCGGACCGTTTGATTGATTATAGTTATTCATTATAAGATACCTAGTCGTCTATCATAGGGAGATGTGTCTGAGTGAGATAGGCGAAAGGACCAGAGTCAATTGTATTGTATAATTATTGTATAATATGTACCTAAGCTTTTGCGTAATCATGTAGGTTGGCTTTGTCTGTCAAAGTGGTAGCTACGTGTAAATACATGCATGAGTCAGCTACGAGTAGTTCCTACCTCTGGTATACATTTACATAATTCGAAAATTATTCAAGTCCAATGAAATTACATGCATCAACTCAAAAAAGGAAAGTACTCGCAGGGTAAGTTCCAAATCTATAGCTGAAAACAAAGAGGCAGGTATGCTAAACCATTTGAGATTTAGATTGGTTAAAGAAAAGACCTTATAATTCAATATTCAATAACAAGATTCATTTAAAAGAAGTGACATAAGCGACATAAGTGACATAAGTGGCATAAGTGACATATCACTGCTCTATCTCTGCATCACTGTAACATATTGATTAGACTAATTAGACTGATTATCGCACCCCGCTCCAAATTGGTTTCCCGCCTTTGAACTCAGCCCATCTTCTAATCTTTGATACCTACATGTCGCTACATGTAGTGCTGACTTTGATCCGTATCGTCGGAGTTCTTCCCTCGTGTTCTGCCGATCAAAGTTCAATCGTACAGGGAAAAGTCAGATAAACGCACCTGGTCCTTGACGCTGCGCGCTAAGCCTTTGCATGCTGCAGCAGACCAAGTACCACAGATTTGAAGGCATACGTATAGGAGTCACTGATAGATGAGATTGTTTACTACATACCTACCTATCTTGTGTTGCCTTGTTATGAAACATCATTATTCACTTTGTGCGCCTCCTCACCATTCACACCATTCACACGCTTCACACGTTTCACACGCATTGCAAGCATTGCAAGCAGTGCTCACCTTGGGGCTGTGGCATATCCTCTAGCATATCATCCACGACCACAACCTACAAGAGACATATTTTTAATCCTCTTCGATTCCTCCGGGGACGCAAATTATCTAAATATTTTACCAAATACACTTTTACTAGTTTGACTACTTGCAACCATGTTCTCTCAGGTAAGTTGCATGCCCGTTTTAAGTCTCATAATAATATTTTGATTCCGGATATGACTTCTGCACCAATAGCTTCCATATCTTGGCCCTTTTTATAATTACCACCTCCATCTTATATATATATACCTCCTTCACATACCTATTTTAACCTCAATCTACTTCTGAAAGTTATAAATAAAATGGCTTCTTGTCATTATATACGAACTGGTTTAACCTGCCTAATAGAAGAAACCATACTCGGCTGTCACCGTGACCGTTGAGCGCCTCACTAGCGAGCAGTTTGAAGAAGACGATCTTAGTGGGATCCCCGACCTGGTAGAGGTTATCAAACTTCAAGCATCTGGCCCCGCAGAAGCTGCTCGTGCCTTGAGAAAAAAGCTGAAGTACGGTAGTGTCCACAGGCAGCTTAGAGCTCTTGTGCTTCTTGATGGCTTAATTCAGAATGCTGGTCCGCGTTTTCAGCGGACCTTTATAGATGAGCCGTTGCTTGAGCGCTTGAGAGTTTGCGGCACTTCGGACCTGTCTGACCCCGATGTCAAGAAGAAATGTTCTGAGCTGTTCAGAGGCTGGGCTACAGAGTATAAGAATACACCAGGTCTCGAAAGAGTCGCCATGTTATATAAGGTAAGAAGCCTGGATAAACTTGGAACTCTAAAAAGTAACCATGATAGGAACTCCCGCGGCGTAAACAAGTTGTCACTCAAGCGAAATCCAAGGTCTTGCGTGAAACGGAGCAAGACCCCTTCCGTGATTCCGAGGACGAAGCCGAGCAGACCCCAGCCTCCCCAACTTCCCCATCTCAGGCTTCGTCCTCGCGACAACCCGTTGCCTTTCCCCAGCCCAGCCAAACTGTACAGTCATTCAGCCATGTCAAATCATCCTCTGGCTCTGGCTCTGGTTCTGGCTCCTTTTTCTCTAGTTCCGCCAAGGACAAGGATAAGGACAAGAAGAAGAAGGACAAGGAAAGAAGTAAGAGAAAGCACAAGCCTTTCAACCTCGAAGCAGAAAAGGACACTATGAAAGTCGCAATCGCCGAGTCCTCCCTCGCTGCCACTAACTTAACCAATGCTCTCCAAAGCATAAACCGAGAACGCGAAAGGATCTCAGAAAATCCCTCAGCTGTAGAGCGATTCGAGACTTGCAAAAAGCTCCGAAGAAAAATATTACGCTACGTACGTCTTAGCCCAATGTTGAATAATAGCCATTTGCTTACCTTAGTAGATTCATCATGTTGAAGATGAGCAGTGGCTTGGTGGTCTTCTCCATGCCAACGATGAGCTCGTAGTTGCCCTTATGACTTATGAGCAACTAGATCGTTCTATCGACGCCGATAGCGACTCGGAGGACGAACTAGCTGAACAAGCGCATCTTTATAGGAGTAGGCTATTCCGTTTTTAAATGATATCTATATCTATTACTAACTAGAGACAGTGGCGGCCGAGAAGAACAAACAGGCAATGTCGCCGACAAGCCCGTCTAGCCCTGTGTCGGAAATGGCCCAACTCAGTATAAACACAAGCCCTCCCCCTAGACCGATGCCGCCTCCGCGGCCATCTGCCGCATCCAAGCCAGTGATAGCTCCTCGCCAACCTTCCCCTCCAGACTCGGATGAAGATGACTACGCAGACGAAGATGAGAACGATCCCTTCGCTGATAGAAATGAACTTGGGACGCCTAGGGTAGAAGGGGACGAGCCTAAGTGGTAGATCCTCTCTTGCTCGATGTGGATTGACGCGGTGGTTTTCATGAGGGGGTTTCATAATGTATCAGCCAACTACGAGATACCTTTCCCAAGTCGAATATTAACCCAACGCATTGGTTTTTATCTCTTGTATACCCTAGAGTCTCAAGAGTTCTAGTGCTTTTTATCAATGATCACTCAATAAATTGTAACCAACTAAAGGGGAACTGTTGAACAGCTCGCCCAGTATGAGATTCCTCACATATAATTCCCTTCATTCTCATTCTCCTTCCTGTCTGCCTTAGAGTACCATTATATTCATCTTACATCAATAACTAGGTAAACTACCTTTAGCTATAGTTACCCTCTTATGTCTGTATCTCTCCCCAAGTAGTCATATTTCCATGACAAAGTCTAGCTTTGGCTACATAACCCCAGCCGATAACTACTATTCTGGCATAAGTATAATCCTTCCACCGCTTAAATATTATATGCTATGTAAATTTCTTTCATCCAACAATGATGCATTAATTCAACGGCAAAAAAACCCCCCCATCGTTGCCTGGCCACGAGATGCATTACGTGTATGCCTTGCGATTACGCAGGATCTGGGCACGTAGGCTTTTGGACTTGCGCCGAAGCTGTATAATATATCATCTAGCAACTCTTCTCTTATATATAATATCTCCTATACAGGCTGCCAAATTATAGGGTAGTAGCATTTGATAGCTATACCGCTTCTAGCCTCTTACCCCTTTTCGCTCTATGCATCCCACCCTCCTGATATATTCTCTCAGGCAGCGTATTCTAAGATTGTATATAGTCTCGTAGGAAGTTTTAACTAGATAGTTATAACTAGGTAGTTAGCAATTTAAGTTTTAAGTATTCCATGGATATCTCTCTTCCGATATTAGGGATTACAGCGCCAAGTCAAGGCACTGTTCTAAGATGGTTGAAATGAATCGTGTTCGTGTTCGTGTCCGAGATTCTCAGCATGGGTTGTATTCTAAGATCGACTATAACAGTTATATAACTTTGTGGGCATTGTTTTCTCTGTAGGAAGCTTTTATCTACTAGTATTAACACAGTCACTGACATGTATGATAGCACTATATTAGGTTAAGCTTTTTCGCGAAAGCTTCTGCTAGAGCTAGATGCGTTGGCTATTGCCTTTCATCCTCGCCTTCTGTCTTGTGGATTGGAGCGACAACTACACCAGTGGCTGATACCAAATATACTTTAGACGCGCACGCGCACGCGACCACTATCAGATGCCAAATAGCAGCACGCACGCGACCTCGCGAAGTGTAGGGCACGGATGTCTACTAACCTAGGTAGACAACTCTACGAAGAAGAAGTCCCAGCACTCTCTAATAATAAGATATATATTCATGGCCTAGCAGAGCTTATCTTCTCGCTCTTAGCCCCAACATTCTTAGGTTAGTCCATCCCATCTCACCCCCATCTCTCTCCTCGGTAACATGACAACGCGCATCCTCAATAAACTTCCGCTAGCCGCCAGCGCGAATCGGTTTCATCTAGATCGCTAACGCAATCCACAGATCCCGAGCAGATGGATCGAGTAAGGTGTAGCGCACCTGCGTGCAGAGCCAAGCTCCCGTAACTACCTACAGCTAAGGTAGAACGGTACATGACTTGAGGCCGGGCTTAGGTACCTAGCCTGCTGCTCAGTGCTCACAAGCGAACCGTACCTACATACCGGCCTGCCTACCCATGACGCAACGCCCTCCTCTTCCGGAAAATGAAAATTGCACCATGGGTCCGCTTTTCCCAGCGGCGGAGGTCTGTCTATCCGCAAATACGAGACAGTAGAGGCTACTGCTAAGCCAGAGCACGCGTGGGCGGGAGAGCGAACTAGGCGTTAGCGAAACCTGAGCATATTATAAGCCGGCCTGATAGGCGGGCTAGACTGGCTGGTTGACCCTCTCTGGAAATGATATGTCGTCAATGTGCCGAGTTAGTTATTCAAGTTATTCACTGGATAACACGGTACGTAGATCAGAGCCTTGTCAATTCCGCCGCGGATAGTTCTGCCGAGAAGGCTAGGGAGGCACTGCTACCGGCATCTGTATGGTAGCGCCCGATAAACTGGACACTATGGTATCATTGGTGAAGCATGTACCGGGAAAGTCTCCGGCCGAAGTTCCACTAGCAAGCCTACCGTGTTATTTTATTTTCCCTAAGCTAGGGTAGATGGATGGATAGCGACGAGTCGTTATGGTGGGATGGGACGGAGTCAACGACCTGGTCCAGCCCAGCCTTGTCAAAAAACTATGTGTACTCTAAACGAAGTTTCGATCCAGTGTGCCGGAGACACTACCTTACCCTACACTGCCTGGGAGGGAGGGTTGAGAACGTAGGCATCGCGTAATGATGTACGTGTAGTTAGCTAAGGGCTAAGGGCGGCGCGCGTGGCCTGCGGCTCTCGAGCTAAGATGGTGGTGCCAAAACGGTCCCCGCGAGGCTGGGGAGAGAGAAAGCCAAATCCAAAGCCAAATCCAAAGCCTCTTCCTAGACTCTGGCTACTCTCTTCCCAGGGTTTTGGTTCGAGCTAGACCTTCTGTTCTAATGCGGCTCAAAACTCTGTCTGACGTTGAGGTTGGGTGGTCCGCGCTGCCAAGAATTAAATTCGATAAATCCAAAATAATATTATTTATGGAGGCAGAAAATAATATAATTTTTTTTTCTCCTTAGGGAGGCATTTAGAGTTTTCCCGAGCACCATGCCCATGGAGTCGCCCTCGATGGGTAGTGCTTTGAGTTGCAATACTTTGCGGAGAGAACAAGCCACGATTACATTAATACCTGGGTATTGTGGGCTGACCTGGATAAAATACAATGGGGATTCGTTCTCTTCACACATGCCTACTTACCATTTCGTAATTCATACGAAACCATCATGCTATGTTGGGCGAACAATTGATAATGTAGTCGATTCCGTTGGCCCGGATCTCTGCTCGAAGAACTATTGAATAGGCAACCGAAAGATACTCCTTACTGGTACTGTCAGATCGACGTTACATAGCCTCATTACCAGCAGGTTCCGTGGGTCCTGAGGTTACGCGTTTCCGGGGCCGGTATAGAGGGTGCTCACCGGCGCCGTAACGGTGATAGGCCGCACGGCTCGCCAGAAATCAGGCCACCAGGGATCCAGGTCGCGGCGTCGCGGGCAGCTAGCTATGTACGAGTTGGGAGTGCTCGGCGAATTACCTCGAGGGTCTGCCGTTTCCTCCCACCTGACATCCGATGTACCGTAGCGGCTCTTTCGTTGCGCTACACATATGTAGCCTCGGAGACTACGTTACGTAGTAGTAGTAGTAGTAGCAGCAGGGGGTAAGGGTAAGGGGTAGAAAATTTCAATGCTCCTTTGTTATTGCGGGAAACGAAATTGTGGAGGTTTTGAGAGAATCCGTCCGTTAGAAAATTTCCTTTGAACTATGATGACGACTTTTGGCACCCGCGAAATTATCTGGTGCGCTCCACTTTCGAGGAACTAATTGCTGTAAGGATGGATGGATGTACTGACACTTGTATACCTACCACCACATTATCTAAGTGTATGTAGTATATATTTACGAGATCTGGGCTAGAGCTTAGAAGTCCCAACGTCTCGGCCCCACGTGGTTGGGAGAAAGTAAAACTGGACGCGATCCACGCTGCTGGATGTTCTCTCCGGCTCTTAGTAGCTTCGTCTCAGGCCAGACTCAGGTCGTCGGTACATCAAGGTTTCCCTTGACAAATGGAATAGAGAATCCGCAGGGTTCAGGCGTGCAGTATACTGTATGTGTATGTGTATGTGTATGTGTATCTGGGTTTGGACCATGTGATATTTGCTTCCCTCCAACCTTTCCCCTCCTCGGCTACATAGGATGGGACGCGTAACGTGAGCAACGACTACAAAAGTCAAAAGGGAGGTCTGAAGACTAGGTCCTGCTTACCTCCAACCGTACTGTATATCTTTATTTGCCAACCTCCTTCAAATGACATGCGTCGTGTAACGCCGTTGCTGTTTTGCCTTCTTCTCGTTCCCTTCGCTACCTACATAGGTAGGTTGGACAGCTTTCGGCGTTATTAATACGGCACAATACAAGGGGAAAAGGGCACTATCCCAATTGAAGTAAACCGAAATTGGATTAACTTCTCGGCCTTTTTCTGGAGTCGAAATCATGTGCTAGTCAGCATCTTTATGTAAGCAGGGCAGTACTAGCTTCTAATTAGGTACTATGTAGGTAGGTAGTTAATGCTTCTATGTAAACTCCGCTATCCTAGCCCCGTTCACGTGAATTAAGCTATTCCCAAGCAACATAGTCCAAGCTTTTCCCACTTCCCATCCATGCTAGCCTTATGCCTTATATGATGTACACTCGTACCTGGTAACCCCGTAGTGTACATACTATGTACCTATGTATGTACACTAGAAAGGCAGAAACGCTAGAAGCCTTCTGGAATGAAGCGGGGCCGCTCTCCGCAGTGGCGAACCACTTGGCGGCTAAATCTAGTCTTGGAAGTTTCGGTTGGCCAGACCCGATCGGCCGCTAGAGCCCGTCCGCAAATCCTCAATTGAGCCGAATGGGTGCCGAAGCAGAATCCCTAAGAAAGAAAAGGACCGATGGATAGAGTAGAAATTTGTGTACATGGCCAAGTATGGATGATAAAAACGTGGATGAATTCAACAAGGTGACTCTGGGTCTCTTGACATGTCCGGTTTTGTAGATGATCCAATGGGGAGGAGGGAAGGGGGAAGATGGAAGATGGAAGATGGGAGATGGGAGATCAATATCATATTGTTACTCGTCTTAATATTATCGCTATTACTATAAGGAATAAGGAATAATAGTACCAACAACAACAATAATAATAATAAAAATAAAAATAAAAATACGAAGAATATTTATTATGGCTAATAAGTAATAAGTTGCTAACTATCCGATACGATACTCCTAAAGATTTAGTATTGCGTAGGTATCCCCTTGTTAAGTCGTCACAAGCTACGGTTGACAACGCATTGATGCATAGAACTTGCTAAGGGAATTCAAGTCAGCGGGCCTCTCCAAAAACATGGCCTACCCGCAATAGAGACTCCCCGCAATAACGCCTTGGTGACTCGACCGCAACTCGTATCAACGCCAATCCAATCCAATCCAATCTAATCCAATACACTGGCCCTGGTGAATTATTTCCTCTGCGCGCACGCATCTGCCAGGACGCCGCGCTACTGTATACTGCCCATGTATCTATCTCATGTACTATGTAAGTGCGGCAATGAAATTACCCTGTAAGTGCTTTCTACTGCTGCTATTGCTGCTCTCTGCCTTGTCCAGAGCCTGTCGCTGTCACGAGATATTCCCCGATCAACATCCCCTAGCTACCTACATACATAAATTTCATCATATCTACTACTCTACCTTACCCGGCTATGTATGTATATCATTAGGCAACCCTAAACAACGCCACAATTCAATGACTGGCATATGCTCGACGGGAAGGCCTTGCACCAAGCATAGCGGGCCCTAGGAGAGATAGCGTCGGTGGTGTTTTTTTTTCTTTTTTCTTTATTCGTCTTCCCTTCACGTGTGGGGTGAGGAGAGAGGGGTGAGCTCGTAGCTTGTAGTTTGTAGCTTGTATCGCGATGAGATGTTTTCTGCTGAATGGCTGGCGGATGAGGCTTCTCGGATACGTTTCGCTCCCGTGAAAGCTAGCAGCTGATACTGGATCGGAGAAGCAAGAGACCCGCGGAGGAAGCACCGAAAACCATTCCATCTTGGTGAGGCCGTTGTTGTTTATTCCCTCTTTGTCAGAGAAACGGGCAAAAAAAAAACATACAACACGACAAGGAGACGCATATCGAGAATAGAGCTAAGCTAGTCACGATCTCTAGGTAGCTGTATCAGTGGTGCAGCAGTGAGCATCTGATACCAGGCGCGCGGGGAGGCGCCGTTGCTTTGCTGCAGGCAGAAAAGTCGGTGAGCAGCGGTTCTCGAGCGCTGATTTGCGCGCGGGCGACGAACATCTAGATGGGTGTGGTAGGCCAACTCATCGTGCTGGCAACCACCCCATCGATAAACGGTCGATAAGCCCTATCGAACCCTATCGCCAGTGAAGGTGTCATGCATGAAAGTGGGCTATTTTGTTGTTGTCCTGAAATGTCTAAGACCAAGATATGCACCGTACATCACATACATACACATATACATACACATATACATATACACAGTTGCTCTTCCTACGGTACCTATACCTTTTATATAGTATACCTAACTTAACCTCTACCCAGCCGGTAATGGTAAATGGCAAATGTACTATGTAAGTGGTCTATGTATATCGAATAGAGGGGGGGGAGGGGGGGCGTGAACTAGAGAAACAACTCAATCGCGGAGAGACCTATGACCTCCTTTTCGACCAATAATAAAAATCACGAGTATAAAAAAATGGAAATACGAAATACGAAATAGGAATATATGTTTTATATATATATTTATATTCACGACGATAACAACGCGCAGTAGGATTAAATATTAAATATAGACAAGAGCTGTAACCACAGGTGATTTTCCACCAAATAGAGTCGCGTCTGCCAGAACTTACATTCGCTTACCGCCCGCGCGGGGTGCATCCTATTGGCATCCGATATGGGTTTGATATTATCGATGAACCTGCAACTTGACGATATCCGTCTGACATGACAGAATGCCTACCTGCTGCGGTAGTACACTGCGGTACTACATGTATGCGCATCTATGTTGATTACATTATGTAGGACGGTAGGACTGTAGTTTTGTATGTAGGTAGGTAGGTAGTTATGTATAAGAGGTAGATGCGTCTATCGGACTTAACCAACCTTTAACATACCTTGCTTACAACAGCATTGTAAGGTAGTCAGTATAGCCACCAAGGGGGTATACTGACTGATTATGTATGCTGCTGCTGCTGCTGCTGCTGCTGCACATCTACCTCATCCTACCGCTTCTCGACAGCTTCATGCTTTTACAATATACGGAACGTGTCCTCGCACATGGCTATTCCGAAACACCCCATCACCAAGTATGATTTGGAGGTGTGTTGAGAGATCTTGACAGCCAACTCACCGCCCTACCGTCCTATACCGCCAAGCGCGCGCACTAGTTATTTTTTCCCACAGGCCCGCTTCTAGCTTGGGTAGAGTTCACGTCCAATTGCGCCGCTGGTTGCAGTACAGGGTCGTTCCTTGATTTATACATAGCAGTATGTAGCTGGAGACAAGCCTGCCTGCCTACATAATATGACAGCATAGTAGGGCACGGTAATCCGCAGGAGCGTCGTTAACGCCATTAATATTCCGGAGCTACAGATATAGCATAGGCTCTTATCTTAACTTAGCTAGGTAGCTTAGCTAGATAGCTACTGTATATGAATGGAGCATAATAATAACTTCTGTGGGAAGGGCGTTGGGCGGTCTAGGTGACCGCAAGCTGCTAGAGGTTAGTTCTGTTGGATCTAACATGCTGCGTACCTATGTAATGTACGACGGTCCCGCAAAGATCCCAAGTAACCGAAATCTGCCAGCTAGCTAAACAAGCTTTGCTTTGGAGCTCTTGTCGCGAAGCCTCAAAAAAATAAAAAAATAAAAATAAAAAATAAAAAAAGAATAGCTGAAAATTCACCGATATTCAGTCAGGTAGTGATGCAGTCGGTATCTCCAGTAACAAGCAGCATACTAGACAGGGGAATATCCTCGCTGCGCATCCGAGATGCAGTCCCAAGTAATCAGCCTACCTCTTGACACATCCAGCCCTGCTAATCCCGATAAAACCCCATATCGTCTGCTTACGGCCATCATCTATCCAGCACAGCCCTACGCTGCTGTCCTTGTGACTCTAGGACATGTGGAAGTGGAGAGGGAGTTTTGGAACAAGTCTGGGGACGTTGAGGGTTTAGAGGGAAAGGGTCCTATAAGGTGCGCAAAAGAAAAGCTGCAACGAGTGTTCCCTAATGCGGGTCAGGCGGTAGCCAAGTTGGAAAGAAAAGCTCTCGAGCGGGCAGCGGTAGTCGATAATAGGGATCCATACCCCATATATATAGGTAGGTATTTAGGAACAAGGCAGTTCGGCGTTGATCCTCCACTTGTCGATCCAGGGTCCTAACTGCAGTATGACCACCACGCGCAGGGCGCTACATACAGGTGAGGGCATCATCTACATAACAAACATGTCAATCGCAAGCGACGATGGGGAATAGATGGAGCTATCTGTTTGATGTCGTAGACCTTGTCGCAATCCACGCCGATTCGTCTCTAATCGGTCTGCTGAAAGATGTTCTGTTATTCCGAAGCTGCTAGGTTAGTTGCTTACTGTGTGTTGCTTGTGCTGTTACTCGTGGTGATCACATTATTCTACATAGGTTAGATAATACATAGGTAGGTACCCAGAAGAGAAAAAAAAAAAAAAAAAAAAAAGGGAGAAAAAGGAGGGGTTCTATTCTACAGCACACGAATTATAGCAAGTAAAACTAAAATCGATAGCACCATAGCGGATATAGCCGCACCCATATCACCCATACGCCTATCTACCTAATGTATGGCATTAGCAGAGTGTTCATTTTAGAGTGCTAAACTGCTAAACAAGAAAAGTTCCCGTACTCTCCACCCATGGTTCTGAATCGTATGGTTAACAATTTCGTTCCTGATCGGGTATATGGATGCCAGCTTGCCCATCTCCACAGGTTTGCACCCATGAGACCAATGATGCTCCCGTTCGCTTCGGTTTCACATGCTGACCGTGTCACTATTCACTACGCCTAGACAACATCAAGACTTCTGGAAGTTTTCCTAACAGTCACGTCATATGAGCCCATTCTCATCTCTACGTGATAATCAGCTACGTGATGATACAAGTTCGTTCACTTTTAATAGGCGAATTGAGCTTCAATGCGATTGGAAGACGAAGACGATATCTAATGGTTGGAGCACGTTTTATTCTTTTTATTTTGTAGGCCTTGGAAGATTTTTACTATGTTTTTGTGTTCATGGCGCATGCTATTTTATCTTCCTCCGGGGCCGGTTTGCTAGGTCGCTTCTCGCTTCAGCACCTTTTGAATTTTTAGCTAGCAAACCTCCTTTTTTCGCCGCGACGGGCGGTACAGTACAACTCCTCTCTTTTTCCTGATTTTGGTTCATCATCCCTTCTTCGTGAGGTCGCCCTCTAATTCTCCTTGAAATACACACTATGAGTAGTAGAAAGCAAATGCAGCCCTTCCGTTAGGGCAAAATCAAATGCGGACCGTGGTATCATCCGGGTAGCAACGCCGATTAGTGCCAAATAAACATGAAAACTAAAGGCGAGTGCCATAGACACGACGATAAGTCTCGAGCGGGCCGTAAAGCAGCCCAGCCTATGCGCTGTAACGGTGAGGCCACACCGTGATTGGTCCGAGACCAACCCACTGGCTAACCATGCAGTGTGTGATTATAGGCGATGGGACGCCTCGTGATTAAACAACATCATTAAACGCCGGCCCTCATGCAATGCAATCGGTATCGTAGAAAGCAACCACCTTCGCAATGCTTCGTAGAAAAATAAGAAAAAAAAATACAAGGCAGCCTGTGATCTGCCGTCGAGTGCATGCTGGCGACTCGATCGAGGGTATATTCTGTCGAGGCTCGTAGGATAGGGTAGATTACCAGCCCTGAGTGTGGTAGCCGCCGAAATCTTCGCGAGAGAAGTATTGGTTCCAGCTACTCGAGTTGGGCTCTTCTTGACCCTTGCTCATGTAGGCCTTTTCGGGATACTGCTTCAAATTGGCCACGTCGAGGGAGGTATGGCGTCTTTTTAACACGGCATTAGCGGTAGACGACTTTTGCTGTCGCTCCCACAGAAGTTGACGGCGTAGCGACTCTGTCAATTCTGTGGCTAACATGTTCCTTCGGGTTGTCCTGGGTGATAGCGCGGCTTGGTGGTAGTGGGTCTGAGGGTTGGCCATGATGGGCTGCGCGCCGGTTCTCGTGACTTCGTTAATTGGCTTTAGTGGCGTAGGTCGTAGACCTCTGCGTATCTCGAGGTCATTATCGGAATCGTTGGGAGAAGATACCACGTTCATATTTGAAGTGGCCTGAAGTGCTCGCGCGCGTTGGGGAATAGCAGGCGTCGAGTGCGACGCGTAGTTGCTAAGACCCTTGGCTCGTTCTTCCTGTCCAGCGAACATAAGGCTAATCAGTGATCTTTGAGAAGTAAGGTTCGCTTTCGATGGTACCCGCTTGAATGTGACTGCATCATCTACACTAGACTTGCCGCTCTCCTCGATGGAATCTTCCCACTCAGAATCGTCCTCGTCGTCATCAATAGCGCTTTCATCCATGTAGCTGTCGGAATGATCGCTAGGCGTCTGGATTGTCCTCATTGTAACGTGGTTGTTGAACGAGGTCTGCTTCTTCTGACAGTTAAGCATGGAGCCCGGTCGAGAAGAGTGCATGGCACTCTTCAAAGAAGGACTATTGTCTTCTCCAGATGATCCGACACCAACCTCGAACATTGGCCTCTTAGGGGCCGGGGGCGGGGGCATGGCCTTGCGAGCCTCTACACTTTGAGGTGAGGACTCGTTGCTGGAGGAGTCGCCAAACTTGAACTTTGCAGGCTGCTTCTTAAGCTGCACTGGCTTGGGAGCGGGAGACGACTGAGGCTCAGGAATTGGGTCCTGCGCAGCTAACTTGGGTTCGTGAGATACATGGAATGACGGGATCTGCGACGGCGAGAAACCTCGGATGACGGTGGTAGCAGGAGTCTCTATAGGCTTCGGGTGCGGCGAGGACGGCGCATTTACTGACTCGCACTCAGACTCGCTGATCTGAGTTGCGGGGGTTTGTTCTGCTTCTAGGCAAGACGACTGAGAAGCATTTGATGACTCGACCGAAGGAGAGCTCATAGCGGGTAATGGTGCTAGGTTCGGCTCCTTCTCCTGGATAATAGAAACTACCATCTTCTCGAGGTGGTCCGAGGTGATATGGCGCTCACGGCCTCTACTTCGGCTGCTCGCACAAGAGTCTTGTCGGACAATTCGAGGGCGGACAATCTCCATAGGGTCGGAAATAGTAGTGAAATCAATTGCTTCTTCGTCGATGACGGAATCGACGCTTCCCGATAGTTGAGGAACGTCTGATATTTGCTGTTGGGCGGGGATATCTTTCGGTAGTGTGGTGGCGGACGTTGCAGATAATTCCTTGGCTTCGCAGCAGAAGGTCTCTCTATTCCATAATCGCCAACTGAGATTTTCTAACCTTCGACCTTGCTCGACCGAGTCTGCACATCTGGAGAAAACTAGAATCGTAGTTAGAAGCTGC